TTTTGGGGTCCCCCCCCCCCCCCCCCCCCAAGGTATGCGGTTATCGTTAGTGGTTGTTGCTGTTGTTGTGGTCGCGGTTGCCGTTGATCTTACGCTTGGGGAAGGATGCCGTGAGGGTGGATGAGGGTGTCATGGGGGGGGCTGTCGCAGGGGTCCTGGGGGTGTGGCACACAGGCGGATTGCCCCCCTTCCTCTCCCCAAATGAAAGGTGGCCGGGGTTTCCGGCAGCATTTGGGACGCCCTCCGGCTTCACTGGACCTCCTGGCCCCCGGGCCTGACGGGCCACATGGTCCTGGGGGGGGGTAGCGCTGGCCTCCAGTATTACATTTTGGTTTTGGGGGGTCAGGGACCTCTCAAGCCGATCGTTGTGATCACGGGGGACACGGTAAGGGGAAGGGGCACATTTTGGGGGAGGAAGGGGGGGGGGGGGAGGGTATGAGGCGGTGGGGGTCCAGAGAATCGTGGCACTCCAACAAATCGAACTGTTTTCACTTGCGGGGGAGGTATATTCTCCTGTTTTTCATGCCTTGACGGATATACCGTTGACCACGTGTCCTCGAGAGGATGGAGCGTTGGGGGGGTGGGGGGGGGGGGTTGGTTGGTGAAGAGTTATCAACGCTTGTTGTCCCTCCGACATCCCTCGCCTCGCCTGCTGTGTTGTCCACGCCACCCCACACACCTCAGGAGTCCTTCTTCCAGCTGCGGGACCGCCTGGTTGAGTGCAAGTTCCTCGAGATGAGCCTCGACATCAGCCAGGTCTACCACGTCTTCGGCAGGACGCAGGACAGGTTCACCCTCGAGGAGGCCAACGTTGCCCAGGTCTGCGAAAGACGAAGAACGCGCGCGACGTCCTTCTCTGGCTTCGTCGGCCCTCGAAGCGCGCATGTGTTGTTCTTAACTCTGATGAAGTTCTAGTTCAAATGTTGAGAACGGCAGACAGCCTTTGTTGTAGACGCTCCTGTCTCTACCATCCGGCCTCCGTTTTAATGCTTCTAATCCAAACCCACTCCTACCACCGCTTTTTATGGGAGCATAAAGTTGCGATAAAAGTTAAAAGTTTGCAAACTTTTCTAGCAACTTTTCTCATCTACGCTCTTTATGGGAGGAAAAGGTTGCGCCAAAAGTTTGGAAACAAATTTTGCAAACTTTCCTCGTGACAAAAGCGTCCAGCAAAAAATTCGCGGCGAGACTTGCGCCAATCCACGTCAAGCACCTTCCCCTATGCATACGACTCACGTAGACCCTCTCCCGCCACACACACGCGCACGATCCACGCGATAGATAAACGGCCAAGTCCTTGAACAACGAGTTGGAATTGCCTGCGCTGGCCGCAGCTGTGTAGATACGCGTTTTATAGAGTCTGCGTCAGCAGTTGGCGTTGGGTGTGAGCATGATTGAGGTCTTCCTGGCTTCGATTGGAAGGCACAACGCCAGGTTTTGTGCTACCAACTCGTTTTCCAAAAAAAATCGTTGCACGCTCGGGCCGGTTTCGCGGTGTGGTATCAAGGGGTGTGCCTGCTTCTCGCCGTTGCTCAATAAACGATAAAAGATCACGCCTCCGCATTCCACCAGTCCCGTGAAGAAAACTTCCTTCGCTCCAATGGGAGTGCAACGAAAAATTTTATTTGACAATAGTTCCCGGCCGAAAGTTGCCAAAAAAACACATTTTTTCTCACAGCTTTATGCTCCCATAAACCGCCGTGTAACGGTGAGATAGACAACTCATTTAGGTAAGGGTTTGATCATTTATAGGTACCCCGGCGACGGATATACTCCGTCCTGGCTATTTCACGACAATCCTATTGTAACCACGTCGCGTGATTTTTTTTTCATGAAGCTTTGAATTAGGCTCCGGGGCTAGGTTAGGTTAGGGTTGATCGTCAGCTGGAGGCGTCATCGGCCTAGGCCGAAGTTCGCCAAGTGGAAATGATCGTGTCAGGGGTTACCCCCCCCCCCCCCCCCCCGGGGGTTTCTCCAAAGGGTCCCGAATCCATCGCGTCCCGTAACCCCCCCCGAACGTCTTGGATTGAAACTCCCACCTGGGTCAACCTTTTTTTTTTTTTTTTCCTGGAGTAACCTGAAAACCAAGAAACCCCCATTTTTTC